ACTGGAACTTGACACTGCTCACAGAGAGGAACAGGGTGCCTCTCCATGAGATACCCATGAGTAAGACGAGTGTGACCAATGCGAAGGCGGGAGAGAGTGGTCTCCCAACCTCGGCACTGATGACAAGAAGACGGCCAGTAACCTATGCTCGGTTTAATAGAATGAAGTTTGTTACCGAGCAGAGTTGACCAACGTTGTTGCCAACGGGTGCGAAGGTGGGTAGCTATTGCAGCAAAATAGTCCAGAAATGGAACACCTCGATAGGAAATTGGTAGGTCATGTACTGCTGACCGCGCAGCAGTGTCTGCTTGTTCATTGCCCTGTACGTCGACATGACCAGGGACCCAACAAAAAACAATATCTTTATGTTTGGTAGAGATACGGCGTAGCCAAAGTTGGATACGGAGAACTAGGGGATGAGATGTATCAAATTTTCGTATAGCCTGTAGAGCACTAAGGGAGTCTGAGACTACTACAAATGATGACACAGGCATAGATGCGATACGAATAAGTGCTGCAAGAATGGCATACAGTTCAGCAGTAAAAATGCTAGCTGAAGATAGTAAATGTCCCCGCACGACGCTGTCCGGAAACACTGCTGCGAATCCGACGCCGTCTGAAGACTTAGAGCCATCTGTGTACACAGCGGTGGCATGAGAATGGGAGTGGAAGTGATCAAGAAAAAGAGAGCGGGAAGCCACCGTAGGCAGTTGAGCTTTCGAGCAAGGGAGTGAGAAAGAACAGATCCGAACAGCTGGAACTTCCCAGGGGGGTAGGGAAAAGTGAGATGCTACATGAACATATAAAGGTGGTAACTGAAGGGAAGACAAGAGTGAATGTAGGCGAAGAGAAAAGGGACGGAGCAAACAGGGGCGGCGAACGAATAAAGAATGTCTACTAATATTGGTGACCATTCTATAAATGGAAGGATTGTGTAGATCGTGAGAGCGTACGTAGTAGCGAAGGCAATGGGCATCACGGCGATCAGACAAGGATGGAACATTCGCTTCTGTATAGAGGCTCTCAACAGGGGAAGAGCGAAAAGCACCAAGGCACAAACGTAATCCTTGGTGATGGATAGAGTTAAGGCTAGAGAGAGTAGCAGGAGAGGCCGCGGAATAAATCTGGTCACTTGGCCAATAATAATAATAAAAAAGAATACACGTATTTACCTCATTCATCTCATTTCCAATCACTAGTTTCTTCACTCGAATTGGTAATTGAGCTTCAGTAGCAGTCCTTATACATTTCCAGCAACTCCTATTAACTAAGATCTGGACGTGGAAATATATCCTCTCAAACATCGCTACTACCATAAGGTGACGCTGCCTCGGATGTGGGAGGAAATTTAGGGATACACTGTAGGATGAGATCAGGGTATAAGCTGCCTCCTGAATAACGAATACATGCTGTTTCCAGTTTTTACTCAAATTGTAAGTCGGGAAGGTATATTAACGTGGGGTGATGGAAGTACTTAAGTTTCCCATGGTCCCTCATACTCTATCACTATGGTATATGCCTAGTTTTTTTTTTTTCTATAAATTATATTTATCATATTATCTTACCTCAGTTCATTTCAGTGCCCAATACTATCCAGATCTCTAATTCTAATGTATATTACCACCCTCAGGATGCCACCCACAGCAGTCAATTAACACCCTGGTACCTATTTACTGCTAGTTGGACAGAAACTACTGATATAAATAAAAACAATACTATTAATGTAATCACCAACTGCTGGATATAGCTGTTCCTCATTCTGTTCTCGTCGCAGCCTTTCACTTTTAAATGCACTTTCCCTTCTGCTCTACTCTGCAAGAGGGAGGTGATTCAATTCCAGTTCTGGTCTGAGAAGCTCGGATAAACCTGTTTTTTTCTCTTAGACTTCCCCGCTCTTGAATCTTATTTTTTCTTACATATTTGATTGTTTTATTATGCACTTGAGGAAATAATGGCTAGAACGGAGTATGTAACAAATTGTAACCACACAAAAGAGCGAAAAACTGATGTGAAGGACATGGGAGAACTTTCAAAACAAGAGATGCCATGCCAGTGATGTTCCTCTTAAGTCATTTGTTCTCTCTAGGCTGGAATACTGCTGTACGCTAACAGCCCCATTCAAGGCAGGTGAAATTGCAGATCTAGAGAATGTAGAGAGAATTTTCACTGCTCGTATTAGTTTAGTCAAGCACCTTAATTACTGGAAACGTTTGAAGTCCCTTGCCTTGTACTCCATGGAACGTAAGATACATCATAATCTACATCTGGAAAATCCTAGAGGGACTGGTTCCAAATCAGCACACAGAAGTCCCTCCCTGTGAAAGCAGAAGACAAGGGATACGGTGCAACATTTCCCTAGTAAAAAGCAGGGATGCCATGAGTGCACTAAGAGAAAACACTAAGTGTTCGGGACCCAAGACTGTTCAACACTCTCCCATCATACATTAGGGAAATTGCCAATTGACTCCTGGTTGTGAAGAAGGAACTAGACAGATACCTAAAGTCAGTGCCCAATCAGCCGGGCTGTGGTTCGTACGTTGGAGTGTGTGCGGCCAGGACCTGATCTAGCGGGAGACCTGGTCGAGGACCGGACCGCGGGGACGTTGACACCCAGAACAACCTCCAGGAAGGCTCATACCCATAGTGAGGGTGGTAGTCAAGAGATTAGTGGCACAGAATAGGTCCAGGAACTAGGCTCCTGGACCTATTCCCCTCAAGGGAGGTTCCTTGACGCTAGTGAGGGGCTCTTGATCTAGGGAATTGGATCTGTGCTCCAGTTCCCATAATTGAGCCTGAATACCTTCCATTCCCCTACAGGCACTGTATAATCACTACGAGTTTAGCGCTCTCCCATGATTATAATAATCCTGGACCTATTATGATAGATAGCTAGATAACTAAAGTGTAATGAACACTTGTCAGTGCTTAATAGTAACCCATATATATATATATATATATATATATATATATATATATATATATATATATATATATATATATATATATATATATATATATATATATATATATATATATATATATATATATATATATTGTTGTGGTGTGTGTGTGTGTGTGTGTGTGTGTGTCTCCGAATAGGTAAAACTAGTCATTTAGCAAGAATTCATTTAAAATTAAGTCCTTTCTAAAAATTTTCTTTTATACATTTAAAGATATTTTTTTCATTTATGTTAATATAAAAATTAATGATTTTTGTACCAAAGGACCTTAGAAAATTTACCTAACCTTATTATAACAAGCGCAAAATAATTTAGCCTAGTCCAACTAAATATATTTTATATAAGTTTACAGTGAGGACCTGCCTTGTATGGGCCAGTAGGCCTTCTGCAGTGTTCCTCCATTCTTATGTTCTTATACTTACACTAATTGTATAATATACGGCACTCCACTTTATAGAAATAAAGTTTGTTTTACACCCCAGTGCCGCCCAACACTTCCCGAGGTCGTTGTGTCGTATAGGGCACCCACGCACCAAGTCCTACTTACCTAGCACTTAACATTTCTCTAGGTAGTGTTCCGTTACATTACTTGCTTATGTTTAATTATATTAGGTTAACAGTTTAATTTAACTTAACTTCATCATACTGGAATATATTGCATTGAAATAGGTTAAATACTAATTTATATTTGGTAGTATAAACTTGATCTAGGTCAGGGTTACCTGGGTAGCATCACTAGGAAAATACGTTGAAAGGTGCAATGTATATGTACCGAAAGGTGTATATATCTACGTATATACATATATTTTACTTTCATTCCTGTGTGATGATGTCAGTGAAATGTGACCTTAATACCTCACGGACGGTCAAGAGGCCTCAATCCTAACCAAGTTGGGTAGGAACAACAAGAAATAATAACTAACACAGTTAATGCCTAAATAAAGTGTAATGCATGTAAGTGCCGGACATGAGCCACACGGGGTATAATACTACTATTATTATATTAACGAAGCACTAAGCCTGCACCAGTCATACAATGCCTGTAGAATGGGAGGTGATAAGCCTTCTTCCAAGGAAAGGCAGCTCCAGTTTCTCAGATCAAGAGCCCTTTACCAGCATCTCCCTTGAAGGGTGTGCTGAGTACAAGATCAGTCAAGGCAACCCAGATATAAATAACTAGCCCTTCACTTTTTCTTCTTCCTACATTCACATTTCCTCACATTTCAAACATTATTTTTGTTAGGCCTTAAATTTGTGGAGTGGTAAAATAACTAGAAGTGTACACGTGAAAATGATCTTAACTTAAAAATGCTAAAAAAAATAAAAACGGTAGGGTAGTAGGATATCACTTAGCGTTACTTTAATTAGCACAGAGTATCACCTGACGTTACTTTAATTAACATAGGGTATCACCTCTTGTTACTTTAACATGAATTAGATGTAGATTATCATCTGACGTTACTATAACACTAAGTAGTCACTCACTTGACTAGATGACGTTATTTTAACATTGGCTAGTTCATCACCACGACTCGATGGCGTTAACACTGAGTAGTCTATCACCCGACTCGATGACGTTAACACTGAGTAGTCTATCACCTGACTCGATGACGTTAACACTGAGTAATCTACCACCTGACTCGATGACGTTAACACTGAGTAGTCTATCACCCGACTCGATGAAGTTACTTTAACAGTAACTAGACTATACTGATTTCAAATTAAGTTACGACAACGATTTTATTAATCATGTATTGTTTTATTTAGGGGAAGCGCTAAGAACATAAGGGTCAAACAGCACCCAAAGTATGGGAAGCAATCAGATTCTGTTCAAGGAAGTGGAGGACAAGTCAAATTCCTTGGATCAAGAGCCCTCACCAGCATCAAGGAACCTCGTGAAAGGTATTAATTACGTAGAAGTTGCCTTGACAATCAATATAGCCTAAATGGAGGTGTATTCACACACCGGTGGTATATTTTTCTGAAGCTCTTGCTACAGTTTTCAAGGACTTAAATGATAAATGTTTGAAAATAAGGTCGGTGGTATTTCTGAAACAGCCGGATTATAATGTTAACATTTACATATTACTGGCGGCATCACATTATCTGGATACATTCAACTAAAATATTGACCAAGGGAAATTTTCCACCATTACTAAATTACAAGTTTCTCAGAAATTTAAACACGACTCCATCAGTAATAGATTTAATTTTTTTTTCATTTACTATATTTATAAATCATTCCCAGCATTGGAAAAAATAAAGTATTTGTCTGCAGATATATAGCACCTTCACATCAGGATACGGTTCTTGACATATTCTTCAGTACCCGGACGTCCTGGAGACGTCAGTTACCCAAGGAATCTTATGTTGGTGTCAACGTCAGCTGCATTAGTTTGTCTGTTGCAGAGATGGATAATCTTGTTCATGTTGCGTCCCTGACGGGCCTCATGCAGCGCCACCAGCAGGCGGATCACCTCATGACGACTGGGAGTACACACCTGATACGCCTCCTTCCTGAACACCAAAACAAGTGTTAGTACAACATTCTAGAAGTGGGAAGTATACACCACCCTGGACACCAGTGCTACATACTAGAAGTGGGAAGTATACACCTCTCTGGTTAGCAAAGCAAGTACTACGTATTAGTACTGCATACTAGAAGAGGGAAATATACACCTCCTCTCTGGTTAGCAGAGCAAATATTAGTACTACATACTAGAAGTGAGAAGTATACACCACCCTGGACACCACTACTACATACCAGAAGTGGGAAGTATACACCTCCTCCCTGGTTAACAGAACAAGTATTAGTACTGCATTCTAGAAGTGGGCAATATACACCTCCTCTCTGGTTAGCAAAGCAGATGTTAATATTTGCACTCGTGTAGAAGAAGAGAGTAGTTACAAAACAGATGGAAGATATTTGTAAATAATGAGTTAATAACTAGAGTACTTACGGTAAGATACACACACCTCATTCCATTGTAATTAATTTAATATTTTTATTTTACTCCTTATACCTATGGTATGAGCGGCAATCAAAAAATTGCAGAAGTACATAATAGGTCCAGGGACTGGGCCGCAAAGTTTTGATAGATAAACAAGTTACAGCGGCAATGAACTAATTGCATATTTATATCCGGTTACAATCATAATGAATTATTTATGAAGAAATAAATTCACAAAAATATTACACTGTAACTTATGTGTGGTTCTGAATTATTTATATTACCTTTTATTTAAACAAGTATGCTTTAAACAAGTTTATGTGGCTATTCGTTATTTACAAGAGGCAAAGTCAGGGTATTTTTCCAGAATGGTTGGTGACATGCCACTGTTTATCTGGAGTTTACCTGGAGAGAGTTCCGAGGGTCAACGCCCCCGCGGCCCGGTCTGTGACCAGGCCTCATAGTGGATCAGGGCCTGATCAACCAGGCTGTTACTGCTGCCCGCACGCAATCCAACGTACGAACCACAGCTCGGCTGGTCAGGTACCGACTTTAGGTGCCTGTCCAGTGCCTGGAAATAAATGGTATAAAATACCGACACAATGGAAATATCTGTTTGTGACTTGATAAAGCCCACTATGTGGGCGAAACGTTCTCAATAAAGGATCACATTATACTGCATATGTGTTTATATGTCCAGTGCCTGCTTGAAGACAGCCAGGGGTCTATCGGTAATCCCCATTATGTATGCTGGGAGGCAGTTGAACAGTCTTGGGCCCCTGACACTTACTGTGTTGTCTCTTAATGTGCTAGTGGCATCCCTGCTTTTCACTGGGGGGATGTTGCATCGTCTGCCGAGTCTTTTGCTTTCGTAGGGAGTGATTTTCGTGTGCAAGTTTTGTACTAATCCCTCTAGGATTTTCTAGGTGTATATAATCATGTATCTCTCTCGCCTGCATTCCAGGGAATACAGGTTCAGGAACTTCAATCGTTACCAGTAATTGAGATGTTTTATCTCAGTTATGCATGCCGTGAAGGTTCTCTGTACATTTTCTAGGTCAGCTATTTTACCTGCCTTGAAAGGTGCTGTTAGTGTACAGCAATGTTCCAGCCTAGATAGAACAAGCGACCTGAAGAGTGTCATCATGGGCTTGTCATCCCTAGTTTTGAAGGTTCTCATTATCCATCCTGTCATTTTTTTTAGCAGATGCAATTGATACAATGTTATGGTCCTTGAAGGTGAGATAAAATACTTTGATATTTCTTGCTAAGGCATAGCAGGTGAGAGCATCTGAGCATCAGACAAGATGATACGAACAAGTCTTCAATAAACATCTGGCTAGTGCGTCACAAGATGGGACCTGTTTTTAATGCGAGTGTATTTACGCAAGCAGACATAGCTTAAAATGTCCTCCACCGGTGGCTTATATTACTGCCGAGATGTGTGATCAGGTAAGTCTTTATTTAGGTTCAAGTTTAGATATTTACTACTGTCTTACAGAACAAATTATGGGTAAGTTAATAACAATAATAAAAATAATATATTTATTTCTATAAGTACATGTACAGGCCTAGCTGACCTAAATGACATACTACTATATAGAAAGCCGGTTGTTACGCAGAGCATTTCGGGCCAGTTAGGTCAGTTTTACCCCAGAATGCAACTCACACCAGTCGACTAACTCCCAGGTATCCATTTTACTGATGGGGAACATAAACAACTGGTGTAAAGAAACACGCCCAATGTTTCTACCCACGCTGGGAATTGAACCCAGACACTCGCCGTGTGAAGTGAGAGCTTTAGCCACCTGGCCCAATAAAGTCAAACACCGTAAATCATTTCCCTCGGGGCTCTTCGTAATGCCAATTTCTTTCTTACACAATTAAATTTACAGGCTAAGAACTGTTATCTTAACTCAGATCATTTCAGAGCCCAACACCAGGATGCTACCCACAACAGTCGGCTAACACCTACGTACATATTTATTGCTAGATGAACAAGCACAAGCACAACAGACACAGGGAGACATTCCCAGGTGCTTTGGCTCAGCTGCAGGCACTACCACAAAACTTTTTTTATGCCTCAACTTTCGATATCTTCAGGATTTCAGAACTCGTTTATGAATATTTCCTTAATAATTTTGACAGATACATGAAAAAAAAGAGATTATGATGCAATCTTTTTTTTTAATAATTTATGAACACGTTATACAACTAAATATGAAGGACAGTTTATGAGATCCATTATTTTCCGGGACCAGAAAAGAAGTAATGAACAGGACTGCCTTGTATGGCATTTTCGTAGGTGTTCATGAGGCTTAAGTAAATTTCAATGATAAATCTGATTTTTTTAAAGTGATAGAAATATATTATATATTCTATGTTAGTGAAACAATTTTAAAATCTGATGCAAATAATCATCAGTAAGTCTTAACCTACATTTTCACTTTACTAATTTCGTCCTTGACAATGTTTGTTCGCAAATGTATGTAGTAACAAATACGTATTAACAAGCTGAAAAAAATATTTTCAAGTTGTATAAATTCAGATTTAGAAAGTTATTCAAAATAGTTGCATCAGTGATTTCCTAAATAATGATTAATCTGAGTGTTTGTCTCCGGATGGAGGTGGGAACTCGCCTTCCCCACCTCCATCAGGAGGTGAGGAAGATAGTGAGTGCATGTATACTGGGATAGCCTTGTGAGCAACATTCTGCCCTACCATGCACGTCACTGTACCCAGCTACCTGACAAAAACTAGCACGATACCTGCCATCAGCAGTGCCCCTGCAGCGTTGCTGGGACACTACACCAGCCTGCCACTGCAGCGTTGCTGGGACACTACACCAGCCTGCCACTGCAGCGTTGCTGGGAGTGACCACACCAGCCTGCCCTTGCAATGTTGCTGGGAGTGACCACACCAGCCTGCCCTTGCAGCGTTGCTGGGAGTGACCACACTAGCCTGCCCTTGCAATGTTGCTGGGAGTGACCACACCAGCCTGCCCTTGCAGCGTTGCTGGGAGTGACCACACCAGCCTGCCTTTGCAGTGTTGCTAGGAGTGACCACACCAGCCTATCCCTGCAGCGTTGCTGGGAGTGACCACACCAGCCTGCTCTTGCAATGTTGCTGGGAGTGACCACACCAGCCTGCCCTTGCAGTGCTGCTGGAGTGACCACACCAGCCTGCCCTTGCAGTGTTGCTGGGAGTGACCACACCAGCCTGCCCTTGCAGCGTTGCTGGAGTGACCACACCAGCCTGCAGAGTTGCTGGGAGTGACTACACCAACCTGCCCTTGCAGCGTTGCTGGGAGTGACCACACCAGCCTGCCCTTGCAGCATTGCTGGAATGACCACACCAGCCTGCCCTTGCAGCATTGCTGGGAGTGACTACACCAGCCTGCCCTTGCAGCATTGCTGGGAGTGACTACACCAGCCTGCCCTTGCAGCGTTGCTGGGAGTGACTACACCAGCCTGCACTTGCAGCGTTGCTGGAGTGACCACACCAGCCTGCCCCTGCAGCGTAGCTGGAGTGACCACACCAGCCTGCCCCTGCAGCGTTGCTGGAGTAACCACACCAGCCTGCAGCGTTGCTGGAGTGACCACACCAGCCTGCCTTTGAAGCCATTCACACACGTCCTCAAGTAATCAGTATTTTCACGGGGTAAAAAATCGCACAAATGTAACAGTCAGCGACTCATTTACAATATATATGTAAACTAGATGCATTTTGGTCGCTGCACGATCCGTGAAAAGTCCCCCTTTACTCACCTAATTGTGGTTGCAAGGGTCGAGACTCAGTTCCTGGCCCTTGTATACATATCCTTATGATAATATATTAATGTTATAATCAAAACCATAAATTTTAAAGAGGTCGACCGGTAAGCCACCAGAAGGCCTCGGTCAGGTGATCAAAAGTTCCAGTGGCGGAAACAAACCTTACCTAACCTAACCTAACCCTGTATTGCCTCATCCCAATCCCATGTACAACAATGCCCGCGACTGGAATAGTGCAGAGTAAGGCAGAAGTTTATACTGCTGTTAAAAATCAACACTGAGGATTTGAAGTGAATCAGAAGAAGCATTCACAAGTCATCATATGGAAATTAATATCCCAGTTCCTTCAATTAAAAAAAATGGCAAATTAGAACATATGCAGCCAAAATGTAATTCCGCCTTCCATTAAGAAACACCAGTTTTGAAACTAAACTGAAGAGGCATTCACTTGTTAACTTAGAGAGAGAGACTAGTATCCTAAAAATGGGAAAGTCTCTCCTCACTGAAATTAAAAACGCCTTAAACATGCTATTTTTTTTTTTAGTTTTCTTTGCTGACTTCTTTTCTGTTTAAAATTCTTTACAATCCTATAAAAAGTATTTGATTTTTAAGTAAATCAAATTTTATAAAATTGCTTAACATTAGCAAATTGGAACCCACCCAGCGCAAAATCAATACAAAATATTTCCGACCTAATGAGGCATTTTCTAGTTATTGCATGAGCAACCATTTAATAAAATTGGCAAATTAAAATATACACAGCATAAGGTGAGTTCCAAGCTTTGTTTTAATAAAACCCAACAACAGTGAAAGTTTTAAGCTAATCAGTAAATCAAATTACGATTCCAATTGTTAAAATAACAACTTCAATAAAATTTCTAATTTCCAGCTACTCAGACTAAACTTTATATATAGAATCAATAGTTAATAAAAATTGGAAATTGGGACTTATGCTACACATTAACAGCACAAAGTTTATGTTCAGGAAACTACACCAGAGGTGAAAATTTGATGCCGATCAAAAGAGTCAGTTTCCAACTACGGCACGGATTCTAACGATCCAGGCTTTTTCCAATTATTTTGTAGTTACATCAACAAATTTTCCAGCATGCATGCTAAATTTAATAGTTACTATCCCGGCCCTAAGATGGAAAAGCCATTAAATACTGAAGCCGTTCAGAAGACGTAAATTGAAATTTATTGAACGTTATTTAACAGCAATTAATATTTCATATATTAAATTACGCATACACTGGTCAAATCTGCACCTAGACTCTTGAATTTCACTCTCTGCGGTGTCGAATTAGGAGGCAACTTTTGAACTTTTGAAGTTATGTCACTGAGGGTTTTGGAAGTTATCCGAGTCATTCTATGATACTGGGAATAGGTTTAACATCTTTAGCCATAGGGCAAATGTTCCAAGAATTGGCCCTAGTTACCGAACACAGGCTTAAAAATTTGAAGAAAATCTAATTTGGCCTTTACGAGTTATGAGCTAAGCATAATCATGGGCTTTCTGTGGAATTATCAAATGTATGGACTGTGTCTTCTGGAAATAAAAGTTTACTTGTTGTTTGTTTGAAAAAATGGAGGAAGAAGAAAAAGGGGGAAAAAATCTGTTAACCACTTACAGGCAGCTCTTCATGGATACCTAATAAGAGAATTATGAGTAAATGGGTTTACCTGGAGGTGGTGCGGAACCTGCGAGCGGATCTCTTCTCGTAAGGTTGAGAGGTGGGGAAAAGAGCTCCTGTAAGAAAGGTGTGTTTTCCTGGCGGCGTCCCCACTAGGCTAGACTCAGGGATCGCCAGCTGGTCCACTGCAGGAAGGGTATGCTTCCCTGGCGGCACCCCCACCAGGCTAGTCAAAGGAATCAGCAGCTGGTCCACTGCAGGGAAGGTATGTTTCCCCGGCAGCGTCCCCACTAGGCTAGACACAGGGATCGCCAGTTGGTCCCCTGTGGGACGCTCAGAGTTACTTTTCACTAACAACAATTGTTTAAATAGGCTCGGCCTTACTGATAAGCCTGCAAAATACTACTGACTGAACATAAATGCTTATAATAATGAAAGTATGCCTTTACACAGCTCCTATTGTCATGCAGAATGTTAGTCTCTCAAGAGAAGTCCTTATAATAACAAATAAAACAGTTAACAGTTTATTATATCATATATAGTCTCTCAAGAGAAGTCCTTATAATAACAAATAAAACAGTTAACAGTTTATTATATCATACAGGGTGACACTTGTTTATCACAAGTGCTTATAATAAGGTAAATATAACTTTTCGCAGCTATGAGTGTAAGATTTTAAAGAGGTCATGTTAAGTATCAACCAGGTGTATCCGCTGTTAAACACTGCAGCGCTGTATAGCCCTTGTGGCTTAGCGCTTCTTTTTGATTATAATAATAATAATCTGTTAAACACTATTGCATAATAGAATAATAAAATATAACAATTTAATTGATAGAAGCTGAAAAACTATCTGGAGATATAAAATATATAAGTAATAAAGAGAGGGCTGTAGATTTCGGTCTGTAAGGCCCTCTTCAGCAGAAATGATCATTTTCTTTCCACTTCGCTTCAGCTATTCTAACCAGTTTCTTTTGCACCGTTCAACGTACAAGTTAAACAGCTGTTATCTACCTCAACTCATTTCAAAGGCCGGCCTTATTTTCCGCATACTACTACCCCTATCCCCAGGATGCACCCCACAACAACCAATTATTACCAGTAGTGTCTATTTATTGTAAGATGAGCAAGGGCAACAGGTGTAAAAAAAAACCATGCCCAGCGCCCCTGTATCAAACCCAGGTCCTTCGGTTGTGAGCCGAAGGCGCTACCACTTAGCTAAAAGCCATTATTTGTGGGAATACACCTGTAAGAGACTCCTCCGTTGTGGCACTCCACCATGAGGGACTTTTCCCCTTGCGGGACTCTACCCTTGAGAAAATCACCTGTGAACGGAAGGACTCTTGTTGAGGGCCATCAACCATGATACATTCACGTGACTTAAAAAAAATGTGTCAAATTTTCCTAGATTTATCCACGGAGGGATTACGAAATGTTACCATTTCTATCAGTTCAGCAAGAACAGCACTTACGTAGCCCGGGTGATGTAATCCTGAGAAAAAGTCGTAATTCCTAGTGTTCATAAGCAGTCAGAACTTTCATACATTATTATCTTAATATCAAATTTAATCTTAGTGAACTAAGTGGGGTTCGAACTTTGAGCTAAAAACGCTGCCCGAAATGCACAGCATGCCAGTGGTTGTCTTTTTTGCTTAAGAATATTTTATTACATATAAACTACATTTAGTATGCGGCAGAAATAAATAAAGTTGTTTCTTTTAAAACTAGTAGGGCAGTGCGTTTATTATGCACCCTGACTATAGCCTGCAACCTGCAGGCTATAGTCAAAATATTACAAAACTACATAATGGATCCAGAGAGTGGGCCTCAAAGTTTTCCTAGATAAGCAAGGCACTGAGAGCCGCCTCTTGTCATTCTTAAACTTTATTGCGGTTATAAAAATCTTCTTAGGCTATGTTAGGCTGTCTTGTTGCTAAAAGTCTATTCTGGCTCTGATAGAACATTATGTCGTGCATTAGAGCATGTTGAACAGGTTGTAGTACCTCTGGAATTGGACGTTTCACAGCAAAAAGTCACTCAGTGTTGAGTAGAAATCTTGTAAACCGCGAGAGAGAGAGAACTGGACGAGTGTCCTGCTGCAGCAGTCGCTAAAGCAGTCTCCCTGTGGCAAGTAGCCAGCTGAAGCAGGATGTGTATCTTGTATCCACACTTAATCATAAGGTATCGGGGATTGAGGAAGTGAGGGAATGAGGGGTGGGTTGTAAGAAGCAGTCTGTTATTATGGGAAGTAACATAGGTGCGTGTTGTGTCGCTAGATATTTATACAAGGCTAGCAGAAATAGTTTTCTTGCGTCCTCTTACGGTGGCGGGGTCAGCAGTCCACACTGACGTTAATGTCGCCAGACAGCAAGCAGGAAACAGATTGGATGGGGCAATTTGCAATTTTCCATACAAACAGGTGTGAAGACCGGCGGAATATCGAGCTTGCTTTGATTTTTGGTGACCTTTAGTTCATTATTATTATTATTATTATTAAGCGCTAAGCTCCATCTGGGTCAATTAGCCCAGTAAGTGTTTGCGGTTCGATCCTCCATCAGCGAAGTGCGTTAAAGACGCTACTCTCGCTTCCGTTTCAAACTTAGTTTTCGCTCAAACTTAATTAAGCTCAATCCTGAGCGAAATATCGTCTAAAATAAAGGCGAGTTCTTCACTGCGTGTCTGTTATACCCCGATTAAGACGCTGAACAGTGTGGCGGCAGTGATGACACTCATTTTTCTGCCGAATTCTTCACTATCATTCCTGTCGTCGAAGTGGAGAGGTGCAGCCGATGAACTACTCCTCTCTTAGCCATGCAATCAAGAGATTGCTTACATTGTGTACAGCAGTTTCATACCCGCAGTCCTGCCTTGAGGCGAGATTTAAAGGTCGTTCAATTGCCTGGATTTTTTTTTTAATCCACATGTGTTGTCTGCTATTTGCGATTGTTAAGAAGCCAGGAGTAATAATGATCGTTCCGTGTACGGCTTCACACTTGTGTACGCCACCCTGGCTGGGTATCCTTTTGGCCATGATCTTCCTTGTGCAGCTTGAGTATATTAAATGCTCAAGACAGTTTCTGCTACTTGCGTTATCTCAGATTGTGAAGTCTGTTGAGAGATACACATACAATTATATGGAATTACATACGCATTTTTACTGAAAGGAGAAGTACGTTATTTTTTTAAGAGTATTGATGGTATTTCGCTATCACTGTTGCAGTAAATAGGTACGCACATATTCCATTACATTCTAAGTCATTATATGCGAGTAAAACGTGATCGATAAAGGTTTACATAATACTGCATAAATGGTCTTCGATCATGTTAGTACGTCATGGAGTCTGGGTGATTGACAACGTGATGCTGCTCTTGCTAAAATTCATGGCTTAATTAATGCCTGCTAGGTATTCATAAGTTGTATTTATTTGAGTTTCCACAAACACTATTAAATTTCTACAAGCTGTATTGAGCTTCCACACACTGTGTTTGTTGACCTTCCACGCTGTGTTTGTTGACCTTCCACACGCTGTGTTTTGTTGACCTTCCACACGCTGTGTTTGTTGGAATTCCACATGTGTTTAAACAAGCTGCGTTGGATTTCATCGTGCAGGAACGTCACTGCGTATGACTTGTCACATCACTATTTATGACGCAGTAAAGTCACTATGTATGACGCAGTAAGTCACCATGCATGACGCAGTAAAGTCACCATGTATGACGCAGGAAAGTCACCATGCATGACGCAGTAAAGTCCCCACGTATGACGCAGTAAAGTCACCATGTATGACGCAGTAAAGTCATCATGCATGACGCAGTAAAATCTCCATGTATGACGCAGTAAAGTCACCATGTATGACGCAGTAAAGTCACCATTTATGACGCAGTAAAGTCACCATGTATGACGCAGTAATGTCACCGTAGCGTCACCGTGTATGAAGCAGTAAAGTCACCATGTATGACGCAGTAATGTCACCGTGAATGACGCCGTAGCGTCACCGTGTATGACGCAGTAACGTCGCCCATTATGATGTAGTAACATCACCGAGTATGACTCGGTAATGCTACCTTGTACAACGCAGTAACATCACCGTGTATTACGACGCAGCAACGTCACCGTTTATGGCGTAGTAACGTTACCGTCTATGACGCATTACCATCACCGTCTACGACGCATTACCATCACCGTCTATGACGCACTACCGTCACCGTCTGTGACGCATTACCATCACTGTCTATGATGCATTAGCGTCATCGTTTATGAAGCATTACCTTTACCGTCTATGATGCATTACCGTCACCATCTATGACGCATTACCGTCACCGTCTATGACTACCGTCACTGTCTATGACGCATTAGCGTCATCGTTTATGACGCATTACCTTTACCGTCTAAGACGCATTACCTTTACCGTCTATGGCGCATTACCGTCACCGTCTATGACACATTAACGTCACTGTCTATGACGCATTAGCGTCATCGTCTATGACGCATTACCTTTACCGTCTATGACGCATTACCATCACCGTCTATGACTCATTACCGTCGCAGAGCTGCATGGTTAACATTTTTTATATTAAAGTATAATGAAAAAATGGTAAGATCATTCTCCTAATACCTATTATACATAACAGGTGCACTGCAGAAAACAACTGTTTTTTCTACAACATGCCACCTCACCGGACATTTTTTTTTACATAATATAATGTGTTAGCCTGAGCTGTAAGACTTCGGCAAGTAACATTTAGGTTGTTCAGTAGTACGTAGTATATCTGTCTCGTGAAGTACTTTACATCATCCAGTGTTGGTGTGCCATGTAAATAATAATAATCAAGAATGAAAGAACACTGTAGTAGGCTTATTGGCCCATGCTAGGTATTTGAGACTCACACGCACTCATACATACTCGTGTACCCGTTCATCCTGTACTTTAAAGTTACCCATAGTTCTTGCCTGAGTGACACTCCCTGGGAATTTGTTCCACTCATCTTCAGTTCTACTGAAAAAAAGCAGTACTTTCTTATATTTTTGCTAAATTTATTTTTTTCCAACTTGACTCTACTGCCTGGAGTCATTTATTAAATATTTTCAACACGCTATTTGTATCCTCTTTAATTATTCCTGTTTTCCATTTGTAATTTTCAATAATATCTTCCCGTGCCGGATCAGCCGGGCTGTGGCTCGTACGTCGGACTGCGTGCGGCCAGCAGTAACAGCCTAGTTGATCAGGCCCTGATCCATCTGGAGGCCTGGTCGTGGACCGGGCCGCGGGGGCGTTGATCCCCGGAATAACCTCCAGGTAACCTCCCTAATTCTACGCCTTTCTA